AAATGTTAAAAAATTTTTAAAAATTTATTTGTTTTGAGAGAGAGAGAGAGGGAGAATCCCCAACAGGCTCCTCACACGGGGCTCGAACCCATGAACTGTGAGATCATGACCTGAGCCAAAATCAAGAGTCAGATGCTTAACTGACTGAGCTACCCAGGGACCCCTGTAGGTACCTTCCTTATCTCCTATGGTGAGGCAGATTTCGGGTAAAATATGGTCTTTGCAAATCTTAGCTGCAACGTGCCTACGTGCAGGGCTAAGCAGAAGTTTCTAAATGAAAGGTCACAGCAGTAAGGGAAATAGAAGCAATATGGAGTCAGACGTGCTAAGTTTCTCCACTACGTGTTGAGCGACAGTTAGTTAGGGTCAGGATAGTGTTTTAAACTGGTTTGCCTTCATCGCCAGAGGGGCGTGGCCTAGAGAGAAGAGGTGTGGCCATTCCAAACTAGATCTCTGAAACTGACTGAGACCAGTTAAGGAGTTAGGGACTGTATGGTGGTGGGAGGGGGGTTGGTTTGGAGAGGGCTGTCTGAAATCTGAAACCCTGGGGGCGCCTGACTGGCTCAGTCGGAAGAGCATGCATCTCTTGATCTCGGGATTGTGAGTTTGAGCCCCATTTTGGGTGTAGAGACTACTTAAAAACAAAACTTAAAAAATCTGAAGCCCTTGTTAACTATAGAGGGGCATGACTTAGAATGTGAAGAGAAATGACTGCGGAGGAGGTCTGGCTTATGACTGTCACGGACCTTGATTGGCTCAGGAACTTGGGCAGTGTATAATCCTGTAATATTGCATGGTGGAAGGCAAGGTTGCAGGCACTAGCCTGGCCTCAGATGCTCTCAGGGAACCCGTAAGGGGGCGTGGCTATAAGATTAACATTCTAGAACTCGGCTAAGAGGGGCTTGGCCCTCATTGGCTGTCCAGGCCTTGCCTTAACTTCTCGTCCACTTTCCTAGGAGTGGTTTGGCAGAGATCAGAGGCTGGTTTATGATTGGCTGGTGTGATGGATGGGGCGTGGCTCACATTATTAGTAGCAAACGCACTCGTTTCAAGAAGCCACGCCTCCTATCCTCCTATTGGCTGGCCACGGGGGCACAACCGAGGCAGACCCGGCCTCTTCTCTTCCCCACCCCACAGCTGGCCTCGGACCCCGCCCTGCGCGGAAAGCTGGCCCGCCTCTCCGCGGGCTCCTTCGCCCGCCTAGTGGAGCTGTTCTCCTGCCGGGAGAGCAGCCCTCTGCCCGGTCGCGCACGCCCCTCCTTGCCCTGCCCTGGGCCCCCTCCGCCTTCCCCGGAGCCCCTGGCCCGCCTGGCCCTGGCCATGGAGCTGAGCCGCCGCGTGGCCGGGCTGGGGGGCACCCTGGCCGGACTCAGCGTGGAGCACGTGCACAGCTTCGCGCCCTGGATCCAGGCCCACGGGGGCTGGGTGAGCTGCCAAAGCTTCTCTTGGCCTCCCTTTACCCACTTGTAACTTGCGTCTCTGTGGTAGGGGGGTGGCTTCTTCGCCTTCTTTTCAGACCTCACGCGTGTTCTCGGAGCCCTACTATTCATCTGTTCTGTGTCCATTGCGCGCCTTCTGTACACCAGTAGTAGGTGATCCGTGCAGACCCCATGCCTAGCTTAAACCATGCTGGCAAACGTTAACAGTTATGAGTGGGAAGCAAGTAAGGCCCCTTCCTGGGCCTTGGTTTCCTCATCTGTCAAACGGGGAGAGTAGAAGTACCTGTCCCAGAGGGTTGTCGTCAAGACTAAAATGGGATCATCTTTGGCACCCTGTAGGCATTTGCTTGATTACCTGGTGACTGCTTCTCTGACACTGCCTGCCAGAATGCACTTGCCTGGATAGTCCCCTGCCTCGTTTCCTCTGCTCCCTTCGGGGGTTACCCGCAGCGAGGCCTCCCTGGGTCCTCATTTAAAGCTGAGGCCACCTCCATACCCTCCCACCCACTTCCTTTCCTTCTTTGTTGCTTTACCTCCTTCTATAGGACAGCTGCTTCCAGATGGCAGAAGTCACTTGTTTGACTTATTATTTCCTCTTATTTGTTGTTTTCTCTTGCCCCTGACGTATCAGCTTCACAAGACCCGGGAATCTTAGCAACCTTACTCAGTGCTTTAAATCCAGTGTCAGGCTCAGAGCTGGATTGGGCTCCAGTGTGCTGGCAGTGTGACCTTGGCAACTATCCCCAGCTACCTGAGCATCAGTCCCCCCCCCCCCCCCCCCCCCCCCCCCCCCCCGGCCCCTGCCCAACGGGCACCGTTCATTTACCTACCTCTTGGCTGTGGGGATTCAGTGACAGAACGATGTGTACCCTGCTCTCAGAATGTAACCATTGCCTCACAGAGTGGCAGGAGCTGGCCAGATGTGTTTGAGGAGCCAGTAGAGAGAGGAGGCCAGTAGCGCTTCAGGAGGGTGAGCGAAGGGATGACAACAGAAGGGGCGACCAGATCCTGCGGGGCCTTGTGAGCTTGGGGCCCCCTAGAGCCCTCCGGGCAGAGGGACGCGAGCTCACTTAGGTGTTAACCTGCGCCCTCTGGCGGCCGCCTCGGGGAATACTGTAGAGGGCGAGCCGGAAGTAGGGAGTTCGGAGGAGGTAGGTGACTGAGCTGGCTCAGGGAGGAGATGAGGGTGGAGGGGACACTGGGTACCCGTGTCTGGAGCTCGGTGCCGAAGCTTGTTTGTTATGCGAAATTGTTTTTATTTTTTGGCCGCGTGCGCCGCCAAGGACTTTAGTGGAATGATTCCACTTAATCCCCACAACCACCTCATGGGATTTGGATTTTTTCCTGCTTTTATGGAGACTCAAGGAAAGTCCCTCATGCAGAGGATGGGAATTAGGACTTTGACACAAAGCCAAGGCTCTTAATTGTTAAAACCCCAGGACTGTTCCCCTTTTCTGAGTCTCTGTTCCCTGTCTCTCTGTCTACTCTCCACCCTGGGGCTTTGTTTTCCTTCCCTTTTTCTAGGACTCCGTCCCCATCCACCCAGGGGTCTCTGATCCTTTCTTTGGATCCCTGTCCACCCGCCCTGTCTGGTTCCTTGCCTTCCCTGTCTCTGCTCCCGCTGGGCTGGCGTAGATGCCATGGTGAATGGAGGGCAGGCTCTTCGCGTGAATGCTCACGGGTTCTTCCACTTTTCCCCTCCAGGAGGGCATCCTGGCCATTTCACCCGTGGACTTGAACTTACCCCTGGACTGAGATCTTCCTCAGAAGCTGCTACCAGATTAGACCTCATGTCTCTCTGTGCTCTTCCTGTGCTTTGCCAAACCTTCCTGTTCCACTCAGGGTTGTGGGGTGGGTTGCCCTGCCTGTTTCTGCCAAAAAGAAATTGTTTTAAATTTTTTCACATTAAAGACTTTTTCAAGTATTCAATGGTTTGTCCTTTATCTTGAGAACTAGAGTTGTAAGTAGGAGATTTGGGGGCGCCCGGGTGGCTCAGGCGGTTGAGCATCTCAATGTGGGCTCAGGTCATATGAGATCTCGTGGTTTGTGACTTTGAGCCCCACATCGGGCTCTGTGCTGACAGTGCAGAGCCTGCTTGGGATTCTCTCTCTCTCCCTCTCTCCCTGCCCCTTCCCCACTCGCGCTGTGTGTGTCTCTCTCTTCTCTCAAAATAAATAAATAAATTTTCAAAAAATAAATAAGTAGGAGATTTGGCTCAGATCTCTCTCTCTCTCTCTCTCTCTCTCT